CTTGTCTGATTGTTGTTTCTGGTCTGTGTGGTTCCTGGATGCTGTTTCAATCTGTCTGACCTCATGTTCATCATTGACCTCTCCAGTCCCTCCCTCTGTGATGTAGAGCTCTGTGTAGATCTGGTTCAGAAGGGTTGGACTTCCTGCTTTAGCAATTCCCTCAAACACAGACTTGAACTTCTTCTTCAGAACAGATTTAAGTTTATGTTGAGAAACTGCAAAAAATTGTTCTAATAACACAAAAAGTAAAATTAGTAACTAAACACAATTATTTTCTGAAGATGATGTCAATAAATGTGATTTTATCTCTTCAGTAAATGTGTAATTTATCATTTGAAATGTCTTTAGAAATCCTCTTACTGGTCTGCAGATGGTCAGCCAGCTTTTCCTGCTTCATCCTCCTCAGGAAGTTCAGTGTGATCTTCATCACTGCCTCTCTGCTGCTCCTCCTCTGCTCTTCATCATCACCTTCCAACACCTCATCATCTCTCTGACTCTCTGAACGTTCTGGGTAATCTGGACTCAGAACTTTCTGGATCTTCTTCAGTTCTTTCTTCACAAAAGTAACAATGTTGTCCTCCAGCAGCTGGAACAGAATAATAGATGAAGGAAACATCAAAGTGAAATCATGGAGCAAAACACCAAATGGATGTTGGACAGACTGACAGTCCTCTGGTCTACAAAGTGCAGCATGAAGGTGACTTTGAACAGAACTTGTGGAAAAGTATTTGTTGTTTATATACAGACCATAAATATGGAGTCCAACTGTGTTTGATGCTGCTGGGCAGATGGACCACTGGGAACCTCTGAGCTCTGCTGGTCCACTCTGTGGAGGAACCAGGAACAATTAGGAAGTCAGGAAATATTCATCCAACAGTAAACAGATTTTTTCACCAAAAGTTTCACAATAATCCCTTGAAGCAGAAAAATTGATTATCACAGAAACATAATACAAAGACATTAGAAATAGGAAGATGAAATACAAAGATGAAGTAAAAAAACAACAACAGAATCATCCAATAGACATTCTAAAAAATTGGTGCTGAACTTGGACTCCAAACAGTCCAAACTGTCAGCAGATCTGATGCTGGTGGAGACAGTTTCCCAGAGCTTGGGGACAGTGGAAGTAAAGGCTCTGTCCACACAGGTCTTCAGTGTGGGACATCCATCAGGTTCTGATGACTAGATCTGAGGTGATGTGGACATGGAGGAGGTCTGAAATGTGTGTCCATGTGGGATCCAGTGGCGGAGCTAGACTTTTTTCCAAGGGGTGGCCAAAGGGCTTTATCAGACGGGTCCATATACAAATGATGAACGAAAGGAAACAAATATTTTCTCAAACACACTCAAATTAAAATGGTTTATTTAACTAAGATTTGCCATGACCAAACAGGACATTAAACGGCATGGAACAGTGAACATGTAAATGTAAACTCAGAGCCCAGAATATAACCAAAAACAAATTCTCAAAAATAAATAAATAAATAAATAAAACTGGTGCTTCTGGTGTGCAAAAGGTTGTGCTGGGTGGGGCAGTTCAGTGCCATTTCCTTCTGCTTCACTGTCTTCCCCCAGAGTCTGACTCTGAATCTGTATCACCCTCATCTCTCTCTGGAACTTAATTGTGAAATGCATAAACAGACTCAAAATGCAAAAAGCATCATGCTAACCTTTAGAATTAGGCTTATTGGATTTTAATACTTAATAACTCTCTGTCACAGCCTCTAACCCGCTGGTGATGTTGGGCCTGGAGTCTCCTGGCTGGATTCTCCAGGTTGGTCACTGCTGCAGGGTTCTGTCTGGTCCTTGTCACTGCTGCAGGGTTCTGTCTGGTCCTGGTCACTGCTGCAGGGTTCTGTCTGGTCCTGGTCACTGCTGCAGGGTTCTGTCTGGTCCTGGTCACTGCTGCAGGGTTCTGTCTGGTCCTGGTCACTGCTGCAGGATTCTGTCTGGTCCTGGTCACTGCTGCAGGGTTCTGTCTGGTCCTGGTCACTGCTGCAGGATTCTGTCTGGTCCTGGTCACTGCTGCAGGGTTCTGTCTGGTCCTGGTCACTGCTGCAGGATTCTGTCTGGTCCTGGTCACTGCTGCAGGGTTCTGTCTGGTCCTGGTCACTGCTGCAGAGTTCTGTCTGGTCCTGGTCACTGCTGCAGGGTTCTGTCTGGTCCTGGTCACTGCTGCAGGGTTCTGTCTGGTCCTGGTCACTGCTGCAGGGTTCTGTCTGGTCCTGGTCACTGCTGCAGGTTTCTGTCTGGTCCTGGTCACTGCTGCAGGGTTCTGTCTGGTCCTGGTCACTGCTGCAGGGTTCTGTCTGGTCCTGGTCACTGCTGCAGGGTTCTGTCTGGTCCTGGTCACTGCTGCAGGGTTCTGTCTGGTCCTGGTTTTGCCTCTTTAAGAAGAACTGGGAGATTTCCCTTTTCTCTTCATTTGGGCTCTACACAAAATAAGAGCCTGGTATTTAGACTCCATGACTGTTTGGCAGAGACAACACTATTTTAACTATTATTTAAACTAGTTTTTAGTTTTCAGTAGCTAGCTAAAATAATACTAAATTAAAAATACATTAATTAAAATTAATTAATAAAACTAGTTTGGTTATAATACAAAGCTTTCATATGACATAGCCTACTTACATTTCAGTCATTATGAAACTTAATGGTTTTTCACATATTATTACCACACACATTTCAAGCAAGAGCTGGGAGATATAAAACATTACAGGGCAGCATGTCACTAAAACATATGTTAAAAGAATCTGTCTAAAACACGATCTATCAGCACTAGCATGGCTAATATAAGAAACGAGGCACTACGCAGCGGTGCACAACCATTTTTAAAATTTTTTTTTTTTTAAATGTAGGACAAATGCCGCCTCTCATTAGGAAGGTAACAGCGGTTACCGCTGAGCGGTAAAATGGAAATACCTGCAGAACTCCTTGACGGTGTAACTCTAAAGCCGTTGATGTGTTTTGGATCAAGCAGGAACCAACATGTCAGTTTAACCAATGAACAGCGTCCGGCATCGAGCTACCTTCAGGGACAGTCGGAAATTACAGTTTTCCTGGCAAATCTTTGCCGATCTCATAAGTATTATATTTTAAAATGAGCATTTCCAGTGGGGGTGGCAGTAGGAGTGGCAAGGCTCTGTTGGGGGTGGCAAGTGCCACCCCGGCCACCCCTCTGGCTCCGCCACTGGTGGGATCCTCTCCTGGATGTTATAGAGGGGATTTAAAATGGATCCTGTAGATCCCTGGAAGCCAGTGAGCTCACATTGTATCTGTCCTCACAGAGACAATCTGAAGGTAAAGGTCCATGAAGTGATATCTGGATGTGAGCAGTGAACCAGGTGATCTAAGTAGTTGTAAAGATTTAATGTTCCTGCTGATCCATTAAGAACCAGCAGAACCTCTGATGGTCCACATCAGCTCAGTTTGGTTGAGTTCCAGCAGATCTCACCAACATCATGAAGCTTTCCTTCCCTGCTGAACTGCTCTCACAATGCACACAGGAACCAAGTCCTGATGGACCAGAATGGCTTTACCAGGTATTTCCCAGTGGAAATGTGATCCACTGTTAGTCTGACATGGAGCCAGGAAGCAACAGAATCATCATCAACATCCAGAGATAAAGATATGAAGGTGTTTTCATGAGAACAGAGCAGCTGATTTCTGTAGATAATGGATCAAACCTCTGGAAATATAACTGGAAACATCTGAGTTCTTACTGGTTCAGTTTTCAGAGTTACAGCAATTAGAAACAGCTCACCTCTCTGATGATGGAGATCCAGGAGATTTAAAGACAACCAAAGGATGATCCATTGACCCATCACTCTTAAAGGACAGACAGCTGGGTTCTGGTTTCAATCTCTTATGGATCCTGAAAGAAAAGCTCTCATTAGAAACTTTTTGTCTTTTGCCTTTAAGATAATTTTTTATGTGACTGTAAACCAAAAACAGAACCAGTCCGATCATCAACCTGATGTTCATAATGATTCCTATCAGAACCGGTCCAATCCTCCAACATGTTCCTGATCATTGATCTCCTGAATAATGTCCAGCCTTCTCTAAAGAGCAGAAAGATTTGTTTCTGAGACCAACATGTTGGTTTGAAATGACTGAGAGAACAGTTTGGTGATCTTAGTGTTGAGCTCTGACATGGAGCAGAACCAGGAATCATTTCCACTCTGACCATCCAAGGAGGATCTGATGGAGCTTCAATCAGAACCAGATGGTCCGTTAGAGACACTGAAGCCCACTGCTCAATCAGATCCACTAAATATTTAGGTTGACTGTAGAAATGGTTGATAATCTGCCATGTTGGATGATGTTTGAACTTCACAGGTGGAATCATAAAATATTTCCTAGAAAATGTTTTATTTCAGAATGAATCTGTCTTTTGTCAGATTTTAGAGAAAGATGCAAATATCAACCTAGAAATAAAATTCACTTCTGTCTATTTGTTCTTGTGTTAATATTAATATCAGACAAAATAAATGAATGTTTCATTTGGAAAAATTAGGCTTAAACAAACCAGAATAAAACACAGTTAAAAGTTTCTGGTCTAAATGTCATGTCAACATAATAGTTTATAAGAGTGAGTCCTGACTGAGGATTTATAAGATTCTTTCTGTATGGAGTCAATAACTGTCCAATGAATGATGGTTAAATTGATGTCAGGTAAACATCAGATCAGATTTAGAGATTCTGTTAACTAGTGAAGCTCTGGGTAGAGACTGTGGATCCAAACGGACCTGTTTGATTTTTGTACAAAGGATCCAGTTGAACTTTATTGTGTTCATAGTAACATGTTCATTATTGGAACATGTTTACATTGAGACATCATACGTATTACATCTTTGACGTATGAAAAGAAAAATAACCTGAAATTCAGTCCAGTGTTTTCATGACAACAGAACCCAACAGAACTTATCATCACATGGCCACAATAACAGATATAAACAGAAGTTACAGCAGTTAGAAACAGCTCACCTCTCTGATGGTGGAGATCCAGCAGATTTAAAGTAAAAAGGATGATCCATTGACCAGTCACTCTTAAAGGACACACAGCTGGGTTCTGGTTCTGGTTCTGGTTTGAGTCTCTGATGGATCCTGACAGAAACATGATGATTAAAACTTAATCAGCAAAGAGGAGCAGCAGCAGCTTCATCACCACGTCTGTTCTGGCCTGATATAGTGAACGCTGTGTGAAAAGGGCTGTGGACAGTTAGAGATGGTGACCTCACCTCTGACCTTTGCTCTGGCTCTCATCTTTTCCACACAGAGTGGTTTCAGAGGGAGGGACTCCCTCCTCTCTGTCCTCACACTGATCCATGCTGCTGAATCCACATCAGCTCACACACACTTTCTAGCTTCACCTGCAGAGGAAACACACATCATTCATCTGCACATCAACTCTGATCATCCTTTACATCATTAGTGCTGGAAAAAGATCAGCTGCTCCTCCTCTGATTGGCTCTTCTTCTCTGCTTCATATCAGTGTCAGGTGAATGCAGTCAGACAGCAGAGAGGCAGAGGAAGCTGCCATCAGCTGCTGCACTTCTACTATCAGTCCACTAGATGGAGACATGGAGCAACATTTACATTCACTCATTCACAATGAACAACAGGAAATATTTTAGTTAATTATTACTCTACAAGTGGATTAAATGCAATTAAGTTGAAGTATTAAGTAATTTGACTGAATTAAACACATCTCACTATAGCAGCATTTGTCCTACTTCCTTTTGAATGAACGTAGAACAAACTTGTTGTGTTTTCTTTAATGGTGGAGACCAGAGTTTGATGTAATGGGAAAAAGTCATGAATCAATTTGTTCAGACCAGAACAAAAACATCAAATGTTCATCGTATTTGATTCTAGTTCATTAATAATCCTGTAGATTAACCTTCAAACAACAGAGATTAAAGTTTGATCTGAAATTAAAGGTGAACATTTTCTCCAAACATCAGAGAGAAAAATAACAAACTGGCTGTAAAGTTTCTGAAGACAAAGTTCATGTAGAAAACAAAGCAAACTTACAGTTTGTTCAGACGATCCAAAGAGTTGAACAAGAATATGTGATCAACAAACTGAGACCCAACAGAACCAGACTGGTACCAAACCTTCACAATGGAAATGAGTCAAACTGGTTTGACTGGTTTGAACTGTCAGATGAAAGTTTATCTGTTGACGTCTGAAGACATAAAATCTACTCATAACTCTCAGTTTGAACACAAATGTTCTGCTGCTGTTATTCTGCTGATCCAGGTTCTGTTCACCTCCAATGGAACCAGAATCTGTTTTAACTTGGAACCAACTGGACTCTTCATTGGTGGGGAAACTACAACCTGAATGACGTCTGATTATTGATTATTGATGAAGGGTTTTTAAATGATCCAAATATGACTGATAAAAAGTTATCAGAACCAGAACCTGTTGAGTTGGCAGCTTGTTGGATGTTTGGGAGGAGAACCTGAACATTTAACCTCCGGGTTTTACAGGAGGTTCTGGATTCTGACTCAGGAACCTGAACAATGAAAGATGAAACCAGTGACTCCTGGAAAATGGGATGTTTGGATCTGAATAAGCAGTGAACATGTTCTCTAAACATCAGAGAGCAAAAACTAGCAGGAAAGTTCCTAAACTCAAAGTTCAAGTAGAATAAAAAAAATAAAACTTACTGTTTGTTCAATCGATCCAAATGATTGATGAAGAAAATCTGAGCAACAATCAGACTGGAAACACCTTAAACATGAATTCAAACTGAAAGAAAATGTAACAGATGTTGCAGAACTTCTTACCTGATTTGTAGTTTCTTCTGTCAGAGCCAAGCCCGCCCCTTTCTGTTTGCTGCAGCGAGGCAAGAGGTCTCACTCTGAACAATATCTCTTGTATCTAATCAGATGCTCTGTGCTACAATTCTAGTATTTTAATATATTTATTGTTTTGTCTTAAAACTTTACATTTTCATAACATTTTATATTTTGTTTGTGTCAAATGAAAACCTTTTTGAAAAACAAAAAAACCTTTTTTTTGTTTTTATTTTTTCAATTGATTGTTCAATTACTTCTGTTTTACTTTTTACTTTTTGTTGCCGTCGCTGACCCAAAACATTTTTACAATGCAAAACAAAGTAAGTGACAGTAAATACATTTCTATTTAAAACAATTACATTGACATACTTCAATTTTTTCTCTGCTGTACTAAAAAAAAAATCACAGTTCACCTTGACAGGTAATTGTCAGTTACATCAAGTAGAAATAAAAACTGATCTTTGGAGTTTAAAAACAGTATTTTAAATCATTAGTACAACAGATGTATTGAGACATTTTAAAGAAACTCATTTCTGCCAATCTAGTGAAAGTAAAGCCTTTTATCTCATATTTATGGCTCGGCTAAATCACTATTATGACTCATATTAGCAAAGTTTTAGTGGAGATGTGGAACTGGGATACAAGTTTTGTTTTTTTTTTCAATCAAATGGGATCCATAACTTTTAAACAGTTGCAGAAAAAACAAGACACTGTAAAGAAGCATCAAACGTCTGTTGTGTGGTGAATAAAAACCATATTCATGTGGAGGAAGTGAAGGTTGTCTGTTTCTGGTGAACTCTGAAGAACCTTAGATAATATCAGTTAAAACATTTAATTTCCCTTTGGGATAAAAAAGTTATTTCTATTGAATTTGTGTCAATTAATCTCAGTATAAACTATATAATGTTCTTCCTGCAGGCATGTTGGATCAGACACATCTCCATTTAAACAATTTCCAGAAATAATCTCAAACTGAAACAAATAAACAAGCAAAGTTTTTCATTCTTCCTGTATTTTTTTCTGCTTACATTTTTTTCTACTAGCAGCATTAAAACAAAGAGACAGAAATGGAAAGAAAAACTTTATTAGAGAATAAATTTTACTTATTTTTTGTTTCCTCAGAGGTTTTCAGGTCTTCAGGTCTTCAGGTCTTCAGGTTTTCAGGTCTTCAGGTTTTGAGGTCTTCTGGTTTTCAGGTCTTCAGGTTTTCAGTACGGTCCGCACAAAGCCAGCAGGACTTTCTGATAATGTCCTTTGGTGTCGTTCTGTTAAAGCAAAATAAAAAATCATTATTGATGTGGTTTGAAACGTAAACATAGAAACAGTTTGGGAAACGTATTTTACCACGATGTCCTCATGGAGGGTTCTGTCAAACATTGCCCGGTACTCCTCTACGACCTTCTGCAGGTCGACCTCGGAGCGGCTCACCAGGATCCGGATCAGAGTGTGATCCCTCGTACCGTGGCCCTGGTAAGGCACAAAATGGACCACATGAAGTTTCAGTTGGACATTTTGATTCCTTTTCATGGATCTTAGTTTGGTTAAATTATTAGGTTATGTTAATGTAACAAAAACTGTATGTTGCATAAAAAACTGTCAACAAACTTAGAAATATAGTTTGCCAAAAGGCCCTTTCTACACTGCAAAAACTCAAAATCTTACCAAGTGATTTTGGTTTAGTTTCTAGTGCAAATGTCTTGAAACACTTTAAATAAGACAAAACAACATCTTGCTCAAAAATAAAGATATAGGAGCTTGATTTAAATCAATAATTTCTTTATATTGATTTTTTTTTTAAAGTTGTGGTTTCACTGTCAGATTATTTTACATACAACATACATCATGTTATAAATGAATTTCTTGTCAAAAGATTAAAATTTTCAACTTTCTATTGTCCTATTTTTTTCTAGAAAATGTCTGAGATAAACATAAATAATGTTATAATGATCAAATTCAGACATTTCTTTGTTTTTTCTGCAACATTTCTGAGGTTAAATTAAATATTTTAGAATTTTTTCTGGCAAATTTTCAACTTTTCAGCCTCAGAAGTTTATCATTTTAAATGAATCTCAAAATTTAAATTTTTCTTGCACATTTTGAACTTTACAAACTCAGAAATTTCAAAGGATTTTCTAGCAATTTACTGAGATTAAAGTCAAAATTTGAGATTTCCCAGCAAATATTTCACTTTTCAATCACAGTTTTTAACTATTTTTTCTAAAGCTTTCCTGAGATTTTAAAACTTTGAGCTTTTTTAGCATTAGTGTTTCTCTTCCTTTTTCTATCTCCACTGCTATTAATACGGCATCATACAAAACTATTTTTCACACATCTGGAATTTAATTACAAACAGAAAAAAACCAATTTTATGTTAAGACGGCTTTCCATATCACACAAAATTAAGGATTTTATTAAAACATGGTAAAATATGAACACTGTAGTCGTAATAATCCAGAGTAATCCCTATTTTAACCATGTTATTAGTGGGATTAGGAGCAGCAGACGCGTTCACTCACCTTCATGGCCTGATTGAGTTTCTCAGCAAAGAAAGCAGGTGTGTTCCAGGCGCATTTCACTGGACATGAAAGAGGAAACAGAAAGTAAAAACTCTGTCACAGACAAAAATAAAAGAGTCCAGATGTTTCTGTGTCTCCAGCTGTGGAGCTTCAGGGTTCAGCTCAACCAGAAACTTTTCAAGATGAACAAAAAGGTGAGAAACATTTAAACCAGCTGGATTCTGCTGGAGTCAAACCAAACAAAAAATAAACAATTTTCTGTTCAGTTTGGGATCCGAGTCTAAGAGTAAAACAACATATTAGGGCCATTGCAGATAAAAAGAAGAAAAAATAGCACATTTTTGCTAAAAAAAAAAAAACAAGCACATTTTCATAAACATTTTTGAGCTCCAAAAGTCAAACATTTTATTAAAAAAAATCAAAATTTTAAGATTAATTCCAAAACTTTTCTACTAAAAAATGCAGAAATTTTAGTTTTCAAACTTTTTAAATTAATTTCAGAACATTTAGAGAAATGCTCAGTTTAGAATATAGTCTGAAAACTTGAAAAAATAAAAAGTCAAACACTCAAAAATGTAAAAATTTTCTGAGATTGAAAAGTCAACATTTGATTTGGATGTAAATGTGGAAATTATTGGATTTATAAATGCTGCCATCTAGAACCACCACTAGAGGGAGCAATTCATCATATTTCGTTTTATTTCTAATATTCTGAATATTTAAAATGTTAAATTTTCTTTAGAAATGAATATATTTTGCATATTTCCGAGCATTAATAACTAATCATGTTATTAGTTGGGAGATTGATGAGTTTTGGTGACAGGCCTTCCCACCGATGTCGATGAGGCAATCCTCGATGTCTCCCTTCAGCTCCAACTGCAGGGCTTTAGGCAGCGTCAGGTCGCTGATGGCAGCATAATGCTGGAACGCTGGCAGGAAACAAAAACACAACTTTCATTTCAACTAATGAACTGAATATATGTTACTGCTTTTAAATACATTCCTGCTGTAAAGCAGAAGATATTGTATCCATGAGGAAAACAGGAGAAAACATGTTGGAAGTTGACTTATATTTGTGTTTTTTTATTGAAAACCTGAGAGTAAATGTTGAATTGGATTACACTTACCATATGGAAGAAGATTATGGCCACTAAAATATCCTGTTCAATCTAATCTAATCTCAAAATGATGGCTTTTCCTATGAAATCTGATTTTTTTCTAAATATTAGAATCCTACCACTAATCTCAAAATGCTAATCAATCTAAAAACTTTTGGCTTTTCCTCAGAATTATGAAAAATGTTTCTGAAAATGTCAAAAAATTCTACCTTTTTACTCACAATCCTAATTTTAATCTCAAAATTTCTGTTTTTCCTCATATGTTAATTTTTTCTTTGAGTCCAGATTTTTTTGGGGAAAAAAACAGAATTCAATTTTTTTTTGATTTATCAGAATTTGAATTTTCCCAGAATTCAGACTGTCAAAAAAACTAAAACTCAGACTTTTTGAAAATATTAATTCAAACTTTTTACACTTTTTTCCATGAAAATATTAGAATCCTAAATGAAATCTCAGAAGCTTCCCCCCCTAGTGGCCTGGATGTTTTCTGTCTAATTAAAACTCAACATCGTCTCAAATTCTTGTGACATAACTTGTTCAGGTCATTGAATATTTCTCAGCCAGTCTTCTGTTTGGTGCCCAGGTGTGACCCGGTCACCTGTCAGTGCGACTCCACCTGTTTGTCCAGGTGTAACGTCACTTTGGAGTAAAACTCAACAATTGACACGTTTCTGTGACTCACTTTTAGAAAGCTGCGGGCCGCTGCGCGTGGTCAGGATGTTGATGAAGGTCGACACGTTTGCTTTTCCGATGCCTTCACCAGCTTCAAACAAAATCTGGACAAGAAAACAGAAAAATGAAATGAGGACATTTAGTCGCCTGATAAAAGCAGAAATACTTAAATCTTAAAATCTCAACTTCAACACGAGAACTTATGGTTTTTTTCATACTTGTAAACAAATCAAAATAATAAACATACAGAAAAATTACTAAATAGAGAAAGTTGAATGAGTCAGATTTGCGTTTCTTGATTTAATTTCTACCTTGGCGTCCTTTCTGGCCAGCTCCATGTCCACCACAGTGTTCTGGTCTCTCTTGGTGTTCAGCATGGCCAGCAGCGCCGCGGTGAAGTCACCGCTGGTCTCATCCTTAATCACCTGCTCCAGCTCCTTCTGGTACTCTGACCACAAGATTCAGCTCAAAACCTTCAACTTTTAAACTGAACAAATGGATTCAGGAATAACAAAGAGAAAATAAGTGGACAGTCTGGACCAATGAGAAAGAAACAGGAACAAAATGGCTGCTGGCGGATCGACCTGCATGAGCTGGAGCTTCATCACTGCAATAACTTAAGTATTTCTGGCCGAGATTCTAGTGTAAATATTTTATTACA